TAAAAAATAAAAAAAAAAAACTCAATATTCTCTTAAGGAAGAAAATAAAAGCCTTTCCTTCAAAAAAAAAAAAAATACAAGAAAACAACGCAATTCAAAAGTGGGCCAAAGACTAACAGACAACTCACCAAAGAAGATGTACAGATGACAAGTAAACATATGAAAAACTAATAGAGTAATTTTTTTAAAAGATGTATTTATTTATTTATACAAGTGCTGGGTATAGTCAGAAGTTCCGGAGTGTGAGAGAATTCACCAGAGCCAGAGCAGGGAGCAGAACAGGCAGACAGACGGAGGACACTGCTGAGGGGAGCAGTGGGCGCAGCAGGAGAGTTCTGCACGCCATGTGGGACCCTTGCAGGCGGCTGTGGATCAGACCTGCGCTTAGCAGCCCAGCACTCAACTGCTGCACCACCTAGGAGGCCCAATAGAGTAAATCTTAAAAGTCCTCATTATAGGAAAAGAAATAGTAATTATGTATGGGGGTGAATATTAACTAAACGTAATTGTGGTGTTTACTTGGGAATATATACAAATATCAAACCAGTATGTTAAACACCTGAAGGTAATTTAATGTATATGCCAATTATATGTCAATATTAAAAATTAAAACCTGGAACACTGACTTAGCCATGTGATGATAACAATGAGGACTAGTGGGACTCTCATTAATTGTTGGTGGGAATGGAAAATGGCATAGGTAGTATGGAAAAACAGTTTGGTGGTTTCTTATAAAACCAAGCATAATTTTACTATACAATCCAGCAATTCTGGTCTGTGATTTTTACACAAAGGGCTTGAAAACTTATGTCTGCACAAAGACTTGCGCATGATGCTTATATCAGCTTTATTCATAATTGCCAAAACTTGGAAGAAACCAAATGTCCTTCAAGAGATGTATAAATAGGGCCTCCCCGGTGGCGCAGCGGTTGAGCGCTGGCTTGCGAAGCTGCCCGCGGCCTCTGCGGTGCCGGTTTGATCCCCAGCTGCTCCCCTGCCACCGGAGGAGGGTCCCACATGGTGCGCAGACCTCTCCTGCCGCCCGCTGCTCCCCTCAGCAGTATACTTCGGTCCTTCTGCCTGCTCTGCTCCCCGCTCTGGCTCTGGTGAATTCTCTCACCCTCCTGTGCTTCTGACTGTACCCAGTGCATGTATAAACAAAATAAACAAACAAATAAATAAATAAAAAAACACCTCTGTAAAAAAAAAAAGAGATGTATAAATAACTTGTGGCACTTCTAGACAGTGTGATATCATTCAGTACTACAAAGAAATGAGCTATCAAGTCATGAAAAGCCATGGAGGAAACTTAAATACATTTACTGAGTAAAAGAAGCCAATCTGAAAGCTTGCCTATTGTCTGATTCCCAGTACATGGCATTTTAGAAAAGTCTTTATACTTATGACAGTATAAAGATCCAGTGATTGCCAGGAGGCAACAGGTGACTATGAAGAACACAGAGGATTTTTAGGGCAATGAAAATCAGTACTCTGTATGATGCCATAAAGTGAATGTATGTGATTATACATTTGTTCAAACCCACAGAATGCACAATACCAAGGGTGAACCATAATGTCTATTATGGACTTTGGGTGATTATGATATAAAGTGCAGGCTGATCAATTGTTAATACAGTATTCTGGTGGGGGATGTTGACAATGGCAGAGAGGCTATGCATGTGTGGCAGACGAGGTTATATGAAACACTTTTATTGTGAAACTGCTCTAAAAATTAAATTTTAATTTAATTTTATTTTATTTTTTTTTTTAGATTTATTTATTTATTTATTTATACAAGCACTGGGTACAGTCAGAAGTGCGGGAGGGCGAGAGAATTCACCAGAGCCAGAGCGGGGAGCAGAGCAGGCAGAAGGACCGAAGTACACTGCTGAGGGGAGCAGCGGGCAGCAGGAGAGGTCTGCGCGCCATGTGGGACCCTCCTCCGGCGGCCGGGGAGCAGCCGGGATCGAACTGGCATTGCAGAGGCCGCGAGCAGCTTCGCAACCCAGCGCTCAACCGCTGCGCCACCGGGGAGGCCCTAAATTTTAATTTTAAAGAAAGTTTTCTGGCTCGCAATACAGAACTGACACTAAAAGTAACAGTGGAAAGAGGGGGTCCATTTACAATGGTCCATGTGCTAAAGGGCAATGGCTTGGAACTGTGTGGTCGCAAAGACAAAGATAATTAAGCAAGTTTGTGATATATTTAGGAATAAAACCACCAAGAATTGAAGATTTTGCACTATTTTCCAAAGGTCAACTCGTCTCAGCTTTCCACTAACAAAATCCCCTTGAAACTGTATAGGAAGCCCATGGCAAAAACATACCTTCAACTCATGCTCTGAACAGACACCATTGATTGCTTATTTGATTGTTAAAAAAAAAATTGCAAAGGGCCTCCCTGGTGGTGCAAGCGGTTAATTAAGTCTCAGCACTATCATGTAATTGGCAGCCACTGTAGTATGAGTTGGATCCCCGGCCAGAGAGCTACCCACATGACACAGCAGACCTCTCCTGTCTCGCCCACTGCTCCCCTCAGCAGTGTATTTCAGTAGATCTGCCTGTTCTGCTCCCCACTCTGTCTCTGGTGAATCCTCTCATACCCCCCAGGATCTTTGGCCTGCACCCCAGTTCCTCCATGCATAAGTAAATAAAAATAAATCTTAAAAAAATTGCAAAGAAGGAAGAGGAGGAAGGGGGTGGGAGGGAGAAGAGAGAGGGAAAAAGAAGGAGAGGGATAAGAGAAGGAGGGCAAGAAACAAGATGGTACAAGCACCTAATTCATGTAATATACCTCTACAGTATCACTTGTTCTTAAAAGCAATGAGAGGAAAATAAGATTTGAGATGGGAGATCAGAGTTCAACAGCAGTAGCCTTCCCTGACAATGATATGTTGGTATACCACCTTTAAAAATAAGAAAACTGGGGGCCTTCCTGGTGGCCCAAGGAGTTAATCACCGCACTATGAAGTAATCCTTAGCCTCTGCAGGATGAGTTTGATCCCAGTCCTGCCGGCCAGGGAGCAACCCACATGGTGCAGCAGACCTCTCCTGACTTGCCTGCTGCTCTCCTCAGCAGTATACTTAGGTCAATCTGCCTGTTTTGTCCCCCACTCTGTCTCTGGTGAATCCTCTCACCCCCCGCATCTCTGGCCTGTACCCCAGCTCTTGTATGTATAAATAAATAAATCTTTAAAAAATAAGAAAATAAAAATAAGAAAACTGTAGCTGAAGGAGAGGAAGAGGTTCACTGTTAATCCTGGTTGAGACCTGTGTTATTTCCACTCTACATACCTGCTAGCCCAGCCTGCACATTTCCCTCTGAGTAACCCTAGCTAAAAGCTTTGGTGGAACTAGAGGTTGTGATGATTCAAATAAGGTTGTCTACATACTGTACCGTTGTGTTTCAATTATATATTCCTGTTTCCCCTTAAATAGGGAATTTAGAATTAGCCTTATTATAATTTGACACTCTATGAATAAGACTGCTTCCTTACCAAAAGAAGTGAAATTCCCCACCAACCAAGGGAATGTATTTGAGATATGTCCAAGCAGAGCTGAAACCTTCAAGTCCTAGAGGATAATTTTTCACCTTGGGTAAAAAGCTTCTCAGGCCTTTGTGTTCTGGAAAGTTACATTTATAGCCCTTTCCCAAGTGTCCTTGACATTGATGAGTCTGACTAAAATAACAATGAATGAGATGGAAGACTAGCTTATGTTCTACAAATGTGGATCATAGAATAGACTATGCCACTGCTTCAATATCTTCATCTGGAAACTAGAGTTGATCATGCCCACTCTTCCCTGCCTTTAAGATTAAGTCACTTCCTTCTATCAGGGTAAGTAAATTTCCCTAGTGCTTGGCCGTGAACAAGACAAGACTCTATCAGTGCTTGTTGAAAAATTAGAAGAGGTACAGGCAAAAATCTCCACTAGCCTTTTGGGAGAGATTAACCCTGCTCAGATTCAGAGAGCTAAGGAATTTAAAAGGCAGGGGCGGGGTTAGGGGCCCCACTTCTTTATAGGTCTGTGTATCAATTTCCTCTACTCTTCAATTCCATCTTTACAGGGGAACCTCCTTCAAAAAAGAGCAATTTGCATTACTGCTTGTCACAGCCACTCCTGGCTGTACATCAAAAAGAAAAACAGGCCCATGTAAATCCTAATCCTTGAACAATGCAAACAGTGAAGTTTGCAAGCTTAAAATTTTCAAAGGCAACCTGGAAAAACAAGGGCCTGTACACAAGAAAACTTCTGCAAAACCCGGGCAAGATCAAGATCCTTGTATATATGAGAAGTATTTTTAGTGTTTGTCTACTTGTCTGGGCGATTGTGACTTTGCATGTCTTACTAGGTGAGGGACATGTAGTTGTAGGCTATTTTACACAGGAAAAAAGGGAAAGAAGAAGGTAGATACGACTTCTGGTTTCCAGGGAGAAGATTCCTACAACTGGCACCATGCCAAGAGACCCAATCTACCGCTATAGAGATATTTGAGAGGTTTCAACAAATATAGGCTGATTTGGCCATACATTATTTCTCAGTTTGTAGGAGATCCTGCCATCACCCTGCACAAAGTCCCTCACAGCTGAAGGAACAGATAATCCTATCGCCCCTTCCCTCTCCCTCCTTTTCCCCCATGCGACCAGTGTCTGTTTTGAATTTGGACTTCGGAACCAAATCTGGTAAGTGCTAGCGTGCAGAAGTTCTGGTAGCCTTGAACCCAAAGTAAAGCTTCGGGTTAAAAAAAAAAAAAAAGGCCCTGGCGCCTAAATCCTGGTCAAAAGGACCAGGCGATATTCAGGGATCTGGGGTCTTCAGCGCTACAGCAATCCTTTTCTGAGCTCACCCACCGGGCGACTGCACTAGTTTCTCCAAAACCACCCAGGGTTTGCGCGCTGTGAGGGGAGGAGAGAAAAGGAAAGGGGAGGGGAGAAGGGAGGGGAGGAGAGGGAGAAAGGAGGTGGGAAGGAGAGGAGGCCGGCCCAGCGGGGGCGGGATCTAACTCGCAAACTGTTGCATTTGCTCCGCACTTCCCTGCGCCCCCTCGGAGATCCCAGAGAGCCGGCGTGCTGGGAGAGCCCGTGCGTCCCGAAGCAACGTGGAGCAGAGGAGGCGACGGAGGTAAGGCGACCGAGCTAGCTGCTCCCGTGCGTGACTAGAGCCTAAGGAACACATCGCGTCAACCCCAGCCAGGCTCGGGCAAGGGCCGACGCCTCTTGCGGCTCAGCAGCTCGAAGCCGCCGCCCCGGAGCTGCCCTTTCCTCTTTGGTGAAGTTTTTGAAAGCTGCCAGAGAGACTCGGAGAAAGCAAGGAAAGTGCCTGGTAGGACTGACGACTGCCTTTGTCCTTCCTCCTACCCTCTTTCCCTCTCGGGTCTCCTCTCCTGCAGCTGCCTCAGATTGCTCCTCTGTACCCGCCCACTCCCCTCCCCCAAGTCTGCCCTGTAAGACCAGCTGGAGTTTGCAGAGAGGTAACTCCCTTTGGCTGCGGGCTGGCGAGCTAGCTGCACGTTGCAAAGCCGGCTCTGGGAAGACGTCTCTGGGGAGAAGGTCGACCTGGGAGCGGCTTCAGCACTACAGCCAAGACCTGGCCGGTTAGGCGGGGCGCGGGGCGGCCCGCAGGTTCCCCCTCTACCACCCACTGCATGCACCTCCTCAGCCAGTTTGTGGGGCAAGAGATCGCTGGGTGAAAAGGCAGGGCTTCAGTAGCCAAAAGCAAAACAAAAGCAAGCAAGCAAGCAAGCAAGCAAAGAAACAAACAAGAAAAACCAAGACAAGCAAACAACGACAACAACAAATCGACTCAAAACAAAACAAAACATCCAAAGCAAAAAGAAAATAACCCGGTTCCTATCTGCACCTGCTTCAGTGGACACTGAATTTGGAAAGCGGAGGAGTCTCCTTTTTTTTTTTTTTTCCTTCAAGGTTTGAGCTGCTTTTGAATTAACTCTCCAAGTATTCAGAAACAGACTGCTGGCTTAGCAGAGCAGATCTTGTGCAGCACGTGTTTTCCTCTGCGCGAGACTTTTAGACTGTCAGAGCGCGTTTCTGAGGTTATTCCCTCAAGTTTCCGTCTTAGAGCTTCCCGCAGGTGGGCTGCTAGCTGCAGAGACTACCGCATCGCAGCCTGTTGAACTCTTTTTAGCAAGAGAGGGGACGCGAGGTAAAGGGGTTGGGTGGAAGATTCAACCAAGCTCAAGGATGGAGGTGCAGTTAGGACTGGGGAGGGTCTACCCCAGGCCGCCTTCCAAGACCTACAGGGGAGCTTTCCAGAATTTATTCCAGAGTGTGCGTGAAGTGATCCAGAACCCTGGGCCCCGGCACCCTGAGGCCTCCAGCACAGCACCTCCCGGCGCCCGTCTGCAGCAGCGGCAGGAGACCAGTTCCCGGCAGCAGCAGCAGCAGTGTGAGGATGGTTCTTCCCAAACCCAGAGCAGAGGGCCCACGGGCTACCTGGCCTTGGATGAGGAACGGCAGCCTTCACAACAGCAGTCAGTTCCCGAGGGCCACCCTGAGAGCAGCCGTGTCCCTGAGCACAGAGCAACCGTGGCTGCCGGCAAGGGGCTGCAGCAGCAGCCACCAGCACCTCCGGATGAGGATGACTCAGCTGCCCCATCCACATTGTCCCTGCTGGGCCCCACTTTCCCGGCCTTAAGCAGCTGCTCTGCTGATCTCAAAGACATCCTGAGTGAGGCCGGCACCATGCAACTCCTGCAGCAGCAGCAGCAGCAGCAGCAGCAGCAGCAGCAGCAGCAGCAGCAGCAGCAGCAGCAGCAGCAGCAGCAGCAGCAGCAGCAGCAGGAGGCTGTGTCTGAAGGTAGCAGCAGCGGGAGAGCCAGGGAAGCCCCTGGGGCTCCCTTGTCCTCCAAGGACAGTTACCCAGGGGGCACCTCAACCATCTCAGACAGCGCCAAGGAGTTGTGTAAGGCAGTGTCCGTGTCCATGGGCTTGGGTGTGGAGACATTGGAACATCTGAGTCCTGGGGAACAGCTTCGGGGAGATTGCATGTATGCCCCGCTCCTGGGAGGTCCACCTGCTGTGCGTTCCACTCCTTGTGCCCCCCTAGCTGAATGCAAAGGTTCTTTGCTGGATGATGGCCCAGGCAAGGGCACCGAAGAGACTGCTGAGTATTCCCCTTACAAGGCAGGTTATGCCAAAGGACTGGAAGGCGAGAACCTTGGTTGCACTGGCAATAGTGAAGCAGGGTGCTCTGGAACACTTGAGCTGCCACCCACCCTGTCTCTCTACAAGTCTGGAGCACTGGAGGAGGCAGCAGCTTATCAGAGTCGCGACTACTACAACTTTCCACTAGCCCTGGCTGGGCCACCGCCCCCTGCACCACCTCCTGGACATCCTCATGCCCGCATCAAGCTAGAGAACCCCTTGGAGTATGGTAGTGCCTGGGCAGCTGCGGCAGCACAATGCCGCTATGGGGATTTAGGGAGCCTTCACACCGGAGGTGCTGCAGGGCCAGGCACAGGCTCACCCTCAGCTGCCACCTCCTCCTCCTGGCACACTCTCTTCACAGCTGAAGAAGGCCAGCTCTATGGGCCCTGTGGGAGCAGCACAGGTGAGGCAGGGTCTGTAGCCACCTTTGGTTACACTAGGCCACCTCAGGGGCTGGCAAGCCAGGAAGGAGACTTTAACTCACCTGATGTGTGGTATCCCGGTGGAATGGTGAGCAGAGTGCCCTATCCAAGTCCCAGTTGTGTCAAAAGTGAGATGGGCCCCTGGATGGAGAGCTACTCTGGACCTTATGGGGATATGCGGTAAGTTTCTCCTTCTAGCAATGTTTTTTAGTCTAGAGTCAATCTGTGCTCTGCCGTATTTATTTTCTTCCTCCTCCCCAACACTCTGCCTTGGGGAGATCTCAGTAAGGTTCAATAGAAAGGGCAGCCTTAATCTGGAGCCTTCCCTTGACTCCTGGCCTGATTCAACCTGTGCGTTCCAAAACCTCACTGTGAACCAATCCCCACTGCTGCTAGCCCCGGGTGCGGGTTTGTGCCCTTGCCTTTTTCTTGATAACCCCTCACCCCAGCGTTTTAAAGTCCTAGCTTTTTCATGGTATTCCATGTGCTGCAGGGTCCAAACTTAAATCCAATTGCAGGGGCTACCTTCAGAAATAAAGCCCTTAAGCCCCATCCCTATTACTTTTTCTCCTGCCTTCCCCCAAATTGAGAACCTGGACAAGAAATGTGGGTAGTTTCTCCTCTTGGAGTCTTAAGGTTTTGCCATCCAGACTGTGGGTTGGTGTTACTAGGTTAGAGGCAAAGGACCCAGCCCAAGCCTTTCACAGCCTACCTTCTCCAAAGCCATAAAATGGAGTGCCACATTAGGCAAAGAAGGTGGTCTCTGGGTTCTGGGGGCTGCTAGCTGAAGAAGGGGTGAACTCCCCTTCTTTACAACAACTGTGGACTTGCCACACAGGTGGAAGTCAGCAGAGAGAATAGAAGAAGGCACCAGTAGAGCAAGCAAAAGACAACTTTCTTAGTAGACTCTGGGAAGGATTTGCAATCACAGGTTGACTGTTGGAAGTAGCTGTTTGAGATGGATGGTTTTCTCCCTTGAAGTATTTGTTTGTGCTGTGAATTGCAACAGTCACAGTTCCCTATTTCAACTCTGCATCAGCTCTATAAAGAAAATGTTATTTTAGTGAACAATTTAACCAGACTTGAGTCTGACTTATAAAAATGTTGGAAAAAAATTAAAGGATTCACTGCTATTCTAGTGTGCTCAGAAATCTGTTTTGGGGAAGGAAGAGTGAGGCTTTTCAATATATTTCTTCATTTTAAGGGCATACTTGCATTTTAAAACATGAGCTGTTAGCTTTAATAAATTGAGAAAGAGTGTTAGTGACCTATGACCATGATCTTGCCCAAGAGTTTTAATTAGGACTTGAGAAAAATGATAATTTCATCTTGCTTATTTAAAATTCTTCCTTACTGCAATTGTTGAGTTTCCCAGAGACCATCTTGATGATTTTCACCCAGCAAGCTATTTTATCCCAGTGAGGGAGGGCATATTAACTAGGGAATAACTCCTCAGGGTTGCTGAACACTGATGTCCCGATGAACTTGTTTCTTCTTCTGTGTTTCTGTATTTTATCTGTGACTTTTCAAAAATTTGTATTAACATTAGCATCTTTAGTGACTTAAATCCAGCAATTTGCCTTCTTTCACTGATGTTTCTGTACTTGCAGGGTTGATGGCACAGTGTTAGAAAAGAAAAAAAAGGGGGAAGGATTTTATAAAATGTTATTTTATTGGGGATATTGAAGGAACAGCTAATTGTAAGACTGCATTCTACTGGCTTTTTAAGGTTTGGCTTAGAGGATTTTCAAAGGGTTCATTTATATCAACAGTCATTTCCAGTTTATTTTAAGGCTTTATATATGTGTATGTATGTGTGTGTGTGTGTATATATATATATATATATATATGTGTGTGTGTGTGTGTGTGTGTGTGTGTATATATATATATATATATATATTGCTATGTGATTAAACCTTGGGATAAAATGTCTTCATTTTATGAGAACAGATTTATTCAGTAGGGATATTTCCCTCTCTGCTCCCCCCCAACAAGGTCAATAGTGGAGCCCTCTTCTACTGTTAACTTTTCTAAGGGAGAGGGTAATATCTAAGATGTTTTTTGACCTATATGATGCTTAACCCAGTCACTGGAAGCATTCTTTAGTCTTCTGCATGCCCCCCCCTTCCCTACTAACTCAATTAACCAGGAGAAAATGAATGATTCCACGTGTTTATTAAGGGATGTGTGTTTTTGAAGGCATTATCTGAAATTTTCTGGGAGTAGCTATAGAGAACAAAAAGTTTTCTTCATTAGGTGTGCAGTAATCTAGGTGGTTTAATCCCCGATCTTAATGGAAAAGCTTCTCTAAGATGTGCTTAAATTAGTGACCTCAACCGCTGAAATTATCAGATTCAAATAAAATGCACAATTATTTAATGTTTCTACTCTGTGAATGCTGTGCCGGTTAAGGGGATTCTAGGGGGGAAACTGGCATTCCTGTTTTACGGGTTGACAAAGAATTTTCATTTGTAGAATTTAGAAAATTTTTGAGCAAAAAAAAAAAAAAAAAAAAAAAAGAAATTAGCCTTTCCACCCTTTCTGTATCACATGCATTATATGCCAACTTTGAGTTAAAAAGAAAAAAAAAAAAAAAAAAAAAAAAAAAAAACCTCTCAACATTCTAGAGATTTCCAATAACCTGTTAGATTCTCCAGTGGTATGGGTTTTTAAAAACATCAGTTTTTGTTTTTGTATTGTTTTTGTTTTTGTTTTTTGAGGGCAGGATAAGGATACACTTTACTAACTTTTGGAATAGCTATGCTCTTATATATCTACAAGTTTCTGCCTAAAGGAGAAAGGTGAAGGTGATTTCCCTTTCTGGGTTTGAAAACTGATTTAGACAGAATGAATAATGAAAAATAATGAAGCTTGTGTGAAGTCCTGATGATATTTAATGGAGCTTTTATTTTTTCAGAGCTCAAAAAGACTACAACTTTTTAATTGGCCCTGTCTCACTTGACGGAAGTAGGACCCTTTATATCGCAGCTAGTTACACAGTAATAGGACAAATATTAATTCTTGCGAGTTGAGGCCCAGGGAAGTCTGTGGAGGAATTTAGAGTTGGGGTTTAGATAAAATATCCAGATGCAAAAATAACACTTTAATTTTTCTTTTGGTAATTTGTTGTGGTCTTCATAGCTAGTTTTTTAGGAGTGCTTTGAGATTGGCAAATCCTGGCATTCTCTGTTATTTTTTTAAAGACATTTTATTAATTTTCCATTCCTCCTTCTCCCTTAGATATCAACCGGCTTTTTTATGACTATCTTGCAAGGAGCAGTTTCCCTATTTTATAAAACTAAATTGTGCTTTGGTAATAAAATAGACTGATGCTCTCTGTTAGTAGCCTTTGAGGTTTAGTGTATTGGAAAGACACATCCTCTTTCCATGATCAGGAAATAATCAGTGAGTTCTGTCTGAATACCAGTAATCAGAACTCAAAGCAAACCATTCTTGGTGGAACTCCATTTCAAAATATGTGTAGTATGTAGCTATGGAAGGCTCCTCTTGCTTTTCCAGAGTATTTTTCTCTCAACTTGGCCAAAGATTAGCATCAGTGTGAGATTTTTTCAAAGAAGCTTGCAGTCTTCCAATTGTAAGGTGACTTTGGAGTACTTTCTTGATAGTGCTAATTTAACCACATCCGACTTCCATTCTTTTAGCTATGAACCTTGATATAATATACTCAATTTGTTGGTGCTACTTAATTTTAATTTGTAAAATGTTTTCCCTTCCTATAGTAATGTTCTCATATGTTGCACATATATGCATTTAAAGAGAATAATTCTTGCTTCTTCTAACTCTTAAAAAATATTGTGGTTGCTCTTGGTGGGGTTTTGTGAATTGGAGTTAAAAGAGTATGGCCAATTTTATCATTATTATTACTATTATTATTCATGGTGGTAACCAAAACTACCAGTTTTATTCAGAACACAGCTGAGGCAGGCAGCAGAATGCTTACTGGGTGTGGCAGGCAAGGGTCTTATTCTGTAACCAACCTGAAACTATGATTCTGGAAAATAAAAAGCAAACAAAATATCAGGTTTTGTGAGATTAGTCGGGGAGGGAAAAGGAAACCTCTCCCCAGTCCCTACTCCACCATTTTCTCTTTGTCTGCAGCTTCTTCAAGTGCTGCCTGTCACCGATTTTCTTTTATTCCACTCCTTTAATGCTTTTCACAATGAAATACAGATTTTTCTGACAATTTTTTAAATTATACCTGTAGCTGACACACACACACGCACACTTATGTATAAATTAAAATCTGGAAAGTAACAGATCAGATCAATCCCAGCACCTCTCTCTTTTGAGGCTAGATGACTTTAAGGGGTTGCAAAATGAATAGCTTTTTTTTTTTTTTTTTAAACCTATCAGTTACAGCCTTATTCAGTAACTGCAGAGGGAGCTGAACTGGATGGTTTAAGGATTTGTTGATTCAGTGAAGTATTTTGCCAGCTGCTGTCTCTGTCCCTCTCTGTTCACTGACCATTTGGCAACTTTTTCTCAAAGCCTGAGATCACAGTACCCTCTCCCCTCTGAGAGCTCTGTTTCGGTCAGAATTCTGAAGCACTTTTGAAAGCAGTATTTAATCTGCCTGTGAGGGTATTTGCAAAAGGTGTCTGGGCTAATATGCTGTGGTTATGTGTAAATAAATTATTTGAAAACCAAGAAAAATATTAATTAAATTATTTACTTCAGACTTCCCCTGTCAGAATCCCATCTAGTATTAAGACACTGAATTCATAGTAAATTATCATCCTAAACACAAAGCTGACTTTTTTTCCTTTGTATGTAAAGTACTATACAGTTACTGGTTTTGGTGGACATTTGTCATACTGAAGAGAATTATGAAATTTTGGATTTATATAGCACTTTTTTCAATAAAAAGACCCAGTGTTTTCCAGTTTATTCACTAACACTCATGCAAATTTGAGTAGGTTGGAAGGGTGCTTAGTAAACATCCCTTTACTAGTTGAGGCACTAGAAGTAATTGTATTTTCTATAACATGTGCTTACCATATGAGGAAACCTCTAAGAGTAGCATTTCCAGGCTTTTTTTCCTTAAAGCTTCTTATCTGATGAATGATGTTTTAAATTGTTGTTCAGTAAGGGCTGCTTTTCCATGGCTGCTACATAGAGATGATAGACTGTGAATTATGCACAATTCCTTGCACTTCATG